CTCCCTAGCCCTGCTCAGTGGTTTGACAACACCCTTCCCCTCCCACCGCCCTTTAGCCTAGGCACATTTTGCTGACATGTAACCTGCATGCATTCAGGATGTGAGCACAGAGGGAGAGCTGGACATAGTCATGGGACTCCCAGTGATGGGTGCCAAGCCAAGTGCATGAGCTTCTGTCCTGCTCATTGTCTTTCCTTGGTCTTTGCTCACATGCCCACTGCCAAGTTGGCCATTGTGTCCTGCCAGCGGTGCCTAGCTGGGGCAGGGCGCAGGACAGATCCGTGGCTTGTGGGGTGTGTGTGCGTGTGGCTCCTGCTGCTGCATGCACCCTGGGAGGGCATGGGGGTGGGGTGTGCCCCTGGATCTGTGCGCAGAGCTGGGGAGGGCCGGTTGCCGCTGTGGGCTGGGGCTGGAGTTGCACTGGGCTGCACTCAGGGTGGGTGGCGGTGGCACTGGGAGGGGGGGGTCTATGGGAGGGGCTACAGCCACACCAAAATTCTCCATAGCTCCTCCAGTCCCCCCCTCCCAGTGCCGCCATCACTTGCCCTGAGCACAGCCTGGCCCAGCCCCCCCATCTGCGATAAGCTTGCAGAAGGTAAGATTCTGAATGACAGCCAGCATGACTTTGTCACAGGCAGGTCTTGCCTTACCAACCTCATCTTCTATGACCAGGTAACTTCCCACCTGAAAACGAGAGAGCAGGTTGACACTACATCTAGACTTTGAAAAGGCCTTTGATCTAGTATCCCACGATATCCTCATGAGAACATTGGAGGATTGTGGGCTTAGCTCTGAGACAGTCAGGTGGGTGAGAAACTGGCTGAGGATAGAACCCAGAGAGTTGTACTGAATGGATCTGTGTCATCCTGGCAAGAAGGGGGCAGTGGTCTCCTGCAGGGGTTGGTGCTTGATTTTTAGTACTTTTCAACATCTTTATTAATGATTTGGATGTGAGGGTGAAGAGCTCACTGGCCAAGTTTGCGGACAACACCAAGTTACGGGGAAGCGTGGTCATGCTTGAAGATAGGCTACAGATACTGGTGGACCTACGCAGACTAGTAAGTTGGGTAGATCAGAATCTGATGAAGTTCAACATCAAGAAATGTAAAGTGCTGCACCTCGGCATGAGCAACCCCCAACACACATACAGGCTTGGTGGTACCAAACTGACTAGCACCATGAATGAAAGGAACCTGGGAGTAATAAAAGACCACAGTATGAATATAAGGCGGCAGTGCGATGCTGTAGCCAGTAGGGCAAATAATACTCTGGCATGCATCAATTGATGCATCTCCAGCAAAACCAAGGAGGTAAGTCTTCTGCTCTATTCAGCACTGCTGAGACCGTAGCACTGGTGGGACCTGACCCCTAATTATCTTTCCTGCTTGGTGTGGGGGTCTGGACCCAATGATCTTTGAAGGTCCCTTCCAGCCTTACAAGCTGCGAATCTTGGAGCCCCAGTCTCAGCCTGCAGCAGCAGCTCGCCACACCCTGCCCTTCCCCATACCCAGATCTGGGGCACCCTCCACCATGCTCTCCTGGGCTGTGCACAGCGGTGGGAGCTGCCCACCCTCCCTGCACCCTCCAGACAAGCTGTGGCTCTGTCCTGTGCCCTGCCCTGGCTGGGCAGCGCCT